AACTAAACATCAATTTAATGTAAGTGTGAAATGTCCACTAGCTGCCATCATGATGACTAAACATTTTGAATAGCTATTTTCTTAAGTAATTTTTTAAAATGTGTACTTCATTTATGTGTCAGGAAAATGTGCCATTTCATTTGATTAGTGTAAATCAAATTGCTACAAACTGCTCTCTGAACCAACACTATGCTGTTTCAGATGTGCATTAAGTAGTAAATCACCTTTATTGGAAATGCTGGGTCTCATCTTTTCAGAGTGAATGTTATGTACTTTTTTCAGAGATGCAATAATTCTTTTTTTTTTTTTAAGATTTTATTTATTTATTCAACAGAGAGAGAGAGACAGTGAGAGAGGGAACACAAGCAGGGGGAGTGGGTGAGGGAGAAGCAGGCTTCCCGCCGAGCAGGGAGCCCGATGCGGGGCTCGATCCCAGGACCCTGGGATCATGACCTGAGCTGAAGGCAGATGCTTAACGACTGAGCCACCCAGGTGCCCCACAATAATTCTTTTAAATTTCTGGATTCTCTATTAAATTGCTCCTATTTAGTAAATTATTACTGCTCTAAGTAGCCCAAAGTAATGAAAGTATTAAAAAGTGTCCAAAAGTTACATCCCTGTGGTATTCCTGAGCTTTTAGCTGAATGCATTTAGCCTTCTCTCCTTATCCTTTCAGGGATTTCTCAATACCTTTGGCAAATTTTGACAAAGATTTGCCAGCATCCATCAACGGGCAAAATATTTTATGACCTGCTTCTAGGGAGCTTTTGGACTAAAAGACAGTCAATAATTAGAGCACAGTGAGAGGCTCAGCAAAAGAATGTGAGGCTGCCTACAAGTGATGAAAGCTATTGTGTGTGGCCAACATCACACTTATGTGCATCTGTTAAATTAATTCATCTTCTATGGCTTTTTTCATTTTGATAGAAAATTTATCAGCCGCTTAAAAGAGTAAGACTGGTTCAGTTACACATTTCAGTGTGCTACATTCAAAAGCTGTGAAGTGTGAGTTTAAGTACTGCTCAGAAAATAGTATCTATAATGTTAAAAAAGCTTTGTCAGGTAAAAAAGGTGCATTTTGGATACGAAATGGTTCCTTGCTGGGCAGCATGAAATATGTGATAGTGAAGCCTTCCTCTTAAATTAAAGCAATTTAACCTGGCCTTTTCAACATAAGATGATTACTTACTTCTATTTTACTGAAAATGCACATGTACTGAATCCGCTCAAATATGACAGCTAGTGTTTTCTAATCTCTGGTCAGACACATATTAAGTTAACACATTTTAACTGCCTTGTAGGATGACATTTTAGCCCACATGGTTTAGAAATAGTCCTTCCTACATGCTTCATCAGTTGCAACTGTGGATTGAATGTTCCTTTGAAAGCACTACCATAAATATTTCCACAAATGAGTGATCTGTTCCCATTACATCTGCTAATGCTATCTTATGGCAGAACACAACAAATAGTTCAGACATCACCTCACTGCTCACGGGAACTGTAAGGGGCACTCTGGCGGGGTGTAGCACATCACTGAGAATTGCATCACTGATCCTCTCTGAGGAGCTAACCTGTCTTTCCGGAGACATGTTTCTTGACAGCCTGTCACAAGTGGAGCTGCGGATGTTCAGGGAACAAAGAATAACGCCAACACTGTGTATGTTAAAAAGTCACAAACTTTAATCTCGACAGTGAAGGGGAGCAGAGTTTGCAACCCCAAAATATGCCTTTTTGGCATGTATTTTATGCTAGTTATTTTTTTTTCAAAGAAGGAGCCGACATTAAAAAAAAGAAAAAGCTCTAAAAACTAGAAGTTACCCTTTTGTAACAGATTTTCTATTAATAAGGGAAATCACCATTTGTAAGGATGTTCCCCTCCCTGTACCAGGAAAAGGGGGATAACTCAATCTCTAGAAACTCTTATCAGTGGAGAAGGCAATGACTTAAATCTTGAAAACACCTTACCCTCCATCATGGACTCCCCATCCCCGATACCCTTTGTCTTTAGCAGAAGATGGTATTTAAGGTGATTGGCTTCAGCCATTTTAGAGACTTATTCAGTTTTCCTGGGTCTCTCTCATGTATACAGGAGGTAGACATGTTATTAAACTTCTGTTTGTTTTTCTCCTGTTGATCTTATATCAATTTAATTATTAGGCCAGCCAAAGAACCTAGAAGGAAAAAAGAGGAAACTTTTCTGCCCCTATTTCGGTGACCTGGATGGGACCTTCACAGGTCGGACACTGCTCACTCCAGAGCCACAGCAGCTGAGACATCTTGGGACCTCTGACCAAAAGCCAGTAGAAGGTAAGAATTCTCACCCTATCAGTCCTGGTCTCTGTCTGCAGAGCCTAACGGAAGCAAGAGTGATTAGTCCTTTTCTTTGTCTAAATTTAGGTTAGCAGGAAAGAACTATTTGGGTGAACTAGTTCATTGGGTATGGTGGCTTTGGTAAAAAATTTATTATGAGTACTTTTGTTTCCATTGATCCCTTTCTTCCCAGAGACAGTCATTGTTTTCTTTTTGTCTCTTTCATCTTGTTCTATGTCTTGAGAACTGGGTTTGGTGACTAGTGAGAATGTTCTCCTTAGTAGGATGCATGTATGGATATGCAACTGATGGACAGCTAAATAGGCTGTGGATCCAATTAGCACTGTTCTCTTGGTCCAGCTATGATAGCTCCCAGGGGAATTTGTCATAAGGGGTCTTGGTCCATATGGGGCTTTTATCATCTCAACCTTCATTGCCTTGTTAGTGCTAGAAAAGTCCCAGTCTAATAGTACCTATTCAGGGTCACAGACTAATAGGTGTGTAACTGGAAGCATCTCATGTTCTCATGGGAAACCAGAGACACCATTTACACTATACCATCCTTCCCGCCTATGAAAGGAAGACATTTGCTTTCTTAGGCTAACTCTGAGAGTGAAATTTCTGGATCTTGTGAGGCCTGCAACTTTGCATTCTCCTTTGGAAATGCTTCTTGCATCCTTGGTTAAGCCATAAAAAGGCTTACTGGTTTGACTTGGTATTGAGATTAAAATAAGATCCAACTTGTCAATGGCCAGATGATGGATCCTTTGAATTGGACAAACTCTGATATTTGAAATCCTTCCTTCCTTCCTTCCTTCCTTCCTTCCTTCCTTCCTTCCTTCCTTCCTTCCTTCTTCTTCTCCTCCTCCTCCTTTCTTCTCTTCCACCTCTCCCTCTTCTCCTTTTTCCTCCTCCTTCTTTAGAGCCCTCATCCTAAACAGTTCTTACTGGTACCTATAGAAAGACCAAATTAAAAAAGTGGACACAGGGGCATCTGGGTGGCTCAGTTGGTTGAGTGTCTGACTCTTGATTTTGGCTCAGGTTATGATCCCGGGGTCATGGGATCGAGCCCCCTGTCAAGCCCTACATCAGGCTCCGCACTCAGCATGGAGTCTGCTTGTCCTCTCCCTCTGCTCCTCTCCTGGCTCAGGCACTCTCTCTCTCTCTCTCTCAAATAAATAAATGAATAAATAAATAAAATCTTAAAAAAAAAGTAGACAAAAAGAAGCGTAATGGTTAGTTTTAGGGACTCTCCTGATGAGAAAAAAGAACAGAAATTAGACTTAAGACAAAAATCAATGTCCACATCCAATGTAAATTCCCCTTCTCAAAATCCACCCCATCTGCCTCTTTAAGCTTCCTCTTTTCTACAAGATTTACAGGGAGCACTCAGCCTAATCTCTAGGCACCAAGTATAGAGGTTACACATGTAAATGCTGAAAGCCAAGGAGTGAATTTAGCAGAAGCACCCAAGATGTGGAGTAGGGCTCGCTTCGCTGTCCCTTACAATATCTCCTATTTCCCAGGGCTCTGTAATCAGGCTCTGCCAGCTTCAGGCTTTACTATGCAATGTACTTTGAGGATGTATATTAGACCTCCATCACAAAGAATTCATGATCCCTGGACAGCAGCAGATCTTTTATTTTTTAAAACTAATTTATTTATTTATTTATTAACCATTTTATTTATTTATTTGAGAGAGAGAGAGCGGGAGAAGCAGACTCCCCACTGAGCAGGGAGCCCAATGCGGGGCTCGATTCCAGGACCCCAGGATCATGACCTGAGCCGAAGGCAGATGTTTAAACTGACTGAGTTACCTAGGTGCCCCGATTATTTATTTATTTATTTGAGAAAGAGAGTGAGAGAGAAAGAGACATGAGTTGTGGGGGTAGGGGCAGAGGGAGAGGGAGAAGCAGGCTCCCCACTGAGCAGGGAGACTGATGCGGGTCTTGATCCCAGGACCCTGAGATCTTGACCTGAACCAAAAGCAGATGCTTAACCGACTGAACCACCCAGGCAAGCTGCCACAGATCTTTTACATTATAAATCCGTTTGACTTTCTCTTTCAGAAGATCCTACTAAATGTAGAGATAAATTAGAAAGATTAGTGGCCATTGACAACCCCCATCACAGAAGGAACAGAGGACCAAAATTATTCCTAGGCTCTCCTATAAATTATCAGCTGAAGACATGTTCGGGGGCTGATAGAAGCTAAGTTTGAACTGTACACTCAGAAAGAAGGCTTTTTTAAAAACACTTTACACAAACTTTACAAAGACACAAATCTTTTGATCCCTATCTTAGATAGACATCTCCCCGCTATAAAGAAGCAAGCGTATTTGGAAAGGCAGGTTGTTCCTTGATGGTCCGGCTTCAATCCAGTTATTCAGTGAATTGGACACAACTGTCTTTGTCTTAGAAATCTCTACGAAACCAGAAATGTGGCTCTAGAAGCCACCCAAAGCTTACCTATCCTTATCAATCCCCAGGCCTCCACTATTGATCTCAAAATGCTTATAGACATTAAAAAAGATCAGGACATTAGAAACAGAATTACCTTACACTTATGGAAAGAAAAAAAATAGTAATTATCCTAGACCTCTAAGAATAGTCAAATATGGTCCCCAAACTCCATCTTGGAGAAAACTGGAATTGCCTTTGTGATGTAGATTATCTCTGTCTTCTCTAGGACCTAAGAGCCATTCTTTGAAATGTAAACTTTAGAAGGAGATGTTTCTCATCAAAAGAAAACAAAGGTATGTATCAGGAAGTATCTGGAAGTTGGACTAATGAAAAATCTCAAGTGTCTTCTCCGCAAAAATTAGTAGAAAAACTTTAACTATCTGAGTGGGGAACTTAATTTATTCCAACGGCCAAAACAAAAATTTGTATCCAACTGTTCTTTATAAACCAGTGAGTTTTGTGCTGTGCCTGACTAATGGCTCAAATTTTAAGGCAATGGCTATGGGGTCACTGTGTCTGTTTGTATGTTTATGTGTGTCTATATATGTATATTGTAGATAAAAGTGGTATTTTTCTACTTCTAGTTGATATTGTCAAAATTAATTTGTAAAGAGCTCTATTTACTTGTCTTTAAATTAAGTGTTTATAAATTAAGTATTCTTAAAGTTCTCAGAAATATAATAGAAACTAACCCAAATGCTCTGTGGGTCACATGATCTGGAAAAATACTCAGTATTAAAGCTAGTTTAAGTTCATTGGTTTAGTTAAAATAGACACATCTTTAGAGTTATCAAAACTGAATATAATGCAGACATACAACTTTTATCCTGCTTAGGTCTACTAGTCAAATAAGTTAATGTTTTATATCTCTGTTACAGAAAATTGTCAGCAAGAAAAATAGCCTGGGATGATGGCTGATTTTGTCTAATGGGTCATGAAATTCTCATGGGTAGTCTAAACATAATTGTTGGGTGGAAGTGACTTAGAGAGATGTAAGTGGGATACGAGTTTTTAGGTGAACTTTTTAGCTATAATCACATTTTATGGTATGTGTACTTAAAAATAGTTTCCAAAATCTTTTTGGTAACTTGAATCTTTTGAGTTTAGCTAAGCTAAGTTAAATGATGGAAATTCATTCAATATCTATATCATTTCCAAATAAGAAAAAAATAGTAAAACATTAATTACTGAACATTGGTTTATCTATTTCTGGCTTTTGGACTACAGAGAAACTAAAGATAAATTTGAGTCTATTAGTAACATGTCTTGTGCTTTATTGAAAGACTATACTCTGAAGTAGCACCTGCTTCTAGAACTTATAAAATGTATTCATAAATTTGCCAATCTAAGAAATACTGGTATACCAGACTATTCACAATAACTTACTTTTTAGTTTTCACTAGAAATTAAAGTTTCTAAGGGCTAAGAGTTCTAGTTTTCTTGTGACTAAAACTACTAGAAATGCTAATGGAAATATCTCCATATGCAAGGAAAGTAGGATATATGTTTTTAGTAAAAGAAGGTATAAGGGATGGAAATGCATTTTTGTTGGAGGGAAAAAAAAAGTAAACTTGTCCCAAAGTAAAACTGGCTATTTCAAAAGGAAGAGAGGAAAAATGTATGACAAAATCTGAAGGTTATAAAACGTTTGTGGAAAGGAATCTTTAAAATTTTTTTAAAGATTTTTTCTATTTATTTATTTGAGAGAGAGAGAAAGAGCGAGCACAGTGGGGTGAAGGGCCGAGGGAGAAGCAGTCTCCCTGCTGAGCATGGAGCCCAAGGTGGGGCAAAGTGGGGCTTGATTCTAGGACCCTGGGATCATGACCTGAGCTGAAGGCAGACACTTATCTGACTGAGCCACCCAGGGGCCCAGAAAGGAATCTTTACAAGGGAATTTTAAGCATATTTGGGACTGAATACTATTGAAATGAATTTAATTGAGTAAATGAATTTTAATATCAGAAGTAAGCTGGTGCAAAATTAGAATTCGGTTTTCTTTCTGTTAACAGGATAATGTTATCTTGAACTATTAGTCTGCTCTTTTTTTTTTTTTAAGATTTTATTTATTTATTTGACAGGGAGATAGAGAGAGAGCACAAGTAGGCAGAGAGGCAGGAAGAGGGAGAGGGAGAAGCAGACTCTCCACTGAGCAGGGAGCCCGACGTGGGGCTCGATCCCAGGACCCTGGGATCATGACCTGAGCCAAAGGCAGCCACTTAACCGACTAAGCCACCCAGGTGCCCCATATTAGTCTGCTCTTGATAAGAAACTATAAAAGGTTTTTCTTTACCTTTTAAAATAATCTGCCTAGAAAGCAAAGATTTTGTACCTCATCAGAATAATTCCTTGTGCTTCATGTTATCTCTATCATCACATCTTTGAATACTTAAGTAAACCTAGTCCTCTCAATATTAAAAGAACTAAGTTTTGCTCAGAATGATGTAACCTTCTATATTTGCCTGTGAAATCTTTGTCACTTTGGTTAAATAGATAAGTATTATTTCACAGTGACCTATGGATCCTATTTAGTCATGAGAACAAAGCCCTTTGATATTTTTGACAAACTTCCCCAAATCAAATTCTCCATGAAGTCTTTTTAATCTGGAAGAAATTTTGGGATAATCCAAAGGGTCCCAGGAATATATCGAAAGATCTGTTAAACTAATTAGGCTTATTTGGTATGTTAAGTTCCATGGGAATCATTGTCACAAGTGATGCTAAACCTTCTTAGATTACATCTATACAGATACATGCTATTAATATGTTAATAATGTTAATATGTTATTAATATAACTGTTATTAATATAAGCATTCTAGAAATTGTATGAAATTCCTAAAAATCTAGTATGTCATGTTATCACTTGTAATTCTAATTATCTTGAAGTGTTGTGTGTCACAGAAATAACCAAATTTTCTTGTCAACTGCATTGTAATGAATTCCCATCAGATTTTTAAAAAAGATTTACTTATTTATTTGAGAGAGAGAGAGAAAGAGAGTGCGTGCACACATGCATGCTAGTGGGGAGAGGGGCAGAGGGAGAGAATCCCCTCCCCCCAGCAGACTCCCTGCTGAGCTCAGAGCTTGGAGCTCCTTCCCAGGACCCATGAGATCACTACTTTCACTACTTGAGCCAAAACCAAGAGCCAGATGCTCAACTGACTGAGCCACCCAGGCACCTCCCCTCATGAGATTTTTAACCATGGCTATTTTTATGTCTTTGTCACTTACATAGAGTTATTGTTTTACTCTGATGCTTTTGCAAAATTGTTTGCCAAAGTGCTTCATCTTTAAGAGGACTCCTGTAAACCCTAGAATACAGGTTTCTGATAACTTTAGGATCATAAAACCAAACTGGGAAAAAATGCCCAATGAACTGATGAGGATGATTATAATCTTTGTGACTTTTTTTTTTTAAGATTTTTATTTATTTGAGAGAGAGCACTAGTCAGAGAGAGCAGGAGTGGGGAGGGGCAGAGGGAGAAGCAGGCTCCCTGCTGAGCAAAGGGAGCCCAACGCGGGGCTTGATCACAGGACTCCCAGATCATGACCTGAGCCGAAGACAGACGCTTAACCCACTGAGCCACCCAGGTGTCCCAGTGTTTGCAATTTTCTTCCATTTTTTGAGTTGGAATCACTGCCCATTTTCCTGAAGCCCTGAAAACAGAAGCTAGGTGATTTGATCTAAACTTCAAAGAAAGCACCATAATAGTCATGCCAATCTTCTCTGTGCCTGTTGCTGTCAGGGTCACTCAAAAAAGTTTACTGGTACAACCAATGACATCACCAGAGACATTCAAACTGCAAACCAGCAAATCCGTCACATTGGCACTGCCTGCTCTCACCCCATCTGAAGATGCTTCCAGACTGACATCTAGCAATCCCGATTGGTAGCTCTCAGGACTCAGACGCTGGTTTGTAATTTGCTCTGACTTTTAACCTTTGGTTTTCTTGTGTCCATAGAGATGCTTCTTATTAAATACCTGATTGCTTGCTTACAGAATAAAGGCCTAATTTGGGGATCCCACCTGCATCACCTGCCTCCTGAAATAAGGTAACAACTGTTTAACTGAAAATAGCTATTCTCAAGACTGAGACTGGTTCAGTGAGTTCCAGAACCATCTATCAACTTAGCTTCTAGACTGCGAAACTTCTTATTTGAAGTTTCAAAGGTAGGACTGAAGGGGAACAGATTTGCCATTCCCAAATATGCCTCATGGGCATGTTGATTATTTTAAACTGGTTATTATTATTATTTTTTTAAAGCAATGGACGTAGAACAAGTTCTAAAAACTGAGTAGAAGTTACCCTTTTGTAAGAGATTTACAGCTTTAAGGGAAATCTCCACATGTAAGGGTGTCTTCCTCACTGTACTAGGAAGAGAGGGATAAATCAATCCCTGGAAATTATTTTTTTATTACATGTTTTATTTTAATTCCACTATAGTTAACAGTGTTGTATACTTTCAGGTGTACAATACAGTTCTAGAAACTCTTACCAGTGGAGAAGGCAATGACTTAAATCTGCACAACATCCTTACCTTTGTCTGCTGTGCTTTTCCCAGTAACCTCCCATAACGGACTCCAATCCCCAACATCTGCTTTTATCTTTAGCTGAAGATGGTATTTAAGGTGATGGCTTCAGCTCAACATTTGAAATGCTCAACATTTCAGAGACTTACTCAGTCTTCCTGGGTCTCTGCCATATATATAGGAGGTAGACATGGTATTAAACTTGTTTGTTTTATTCCTGTTGTTCTATCTTGCATGAATTTAATTATTAAACCAGCCAAACAACCTAGAAGGGAAGAAAGAAAAACTTTTCTCCCCATACAACATCTTCTGCCAAAATGTAAGTATCTTTTTAGGGCCAATAAAACTTCGGAAAAAAACTCACAAGAGATGGGCACTCTGAAAACTGAAAAAAAAAAAAAATACTGTGTCTAACCAAAAATATCATCTACAATAAATTTAGAAACAAAAGTTTAAAAATAATGTTTTTTTAAGGATTTATTTATTATGTATTTATTTGAGAGAGAGAGAGAGCGCACAAGCGGGGGTGGGGCAGAGAGAGGGAGAAGCAGACTCCCCATTCCGCACTGAGTAGGGAGCCCCTGTGGGGCTCCATCCCAGGACCCTGGGATCATGACTTGAGCTGAAGACACTTAACAGCCTGAGCCACCCAGGCAGCCCCAAAATAATGTTTTTTTGTAAATTTATTTTATTTCTGAAATCCAAGCAGGTGTTATCAGTATTACAGTGATAATTTCACTTTTTTTAATGTGAAAAATTTATCAGAAACTGTTATACCTTTTCTCAATTCAATGATTATTATTTTTATTTGTGTAATAAGTGAAAGTTAAATTACTTTCCACCTTGATAGCAATTTGAGATGTTTCTTCTGCATGAGTGGTTAAAAATGACTAATCTCTTGAGATCTGTTTTTTTATAAAAACATTATTTGTTGTAGCTTTCAAAGTAAAGAGACTTAAACAAATGGGGAAAATATCCATATCTTTTAATGCAGCTCAACAAAGTATGGCAAATCATCCAAATAATATTGTTTATGATCAGACATATCACGTCATCTTCAGTGTGAGGTGATCAGAACAACAGATACAACAGACATAAAGACATGTTTCTCCTCTCTCTAGCACAGCCCATCTGCAATGAAAAGGCCACTTAGTACCCTTTTATTTATCTAGGGTGCAAATGCTTCTGCTTGCCAAAATAAGATAAAAAGTTTCACATTTAAAAATCAAATAAAGAGCTTCAATGCTCACAAAAATTGACAAATTCTAGAAGTCTTCTAATGTGCTAGCCTCGGCATGCTGCATTTGCCATGAGCTTGACTGAATAACCTGCTCATCTCTCAGCTCTCCTTTTCTGCCTTCTGCCTTTGAGGTTGCTGAGATGTGTCATCCTGTAGATGAATACAACAAAAAATTAAAGCGATTTCTCCATGAAGACTTTCTTGTTTTAAGTGTTGCACAGGGGAAAGCTTTACTAGCTACTTCAGTGCCTTGTGAAGAAAAAATATATACTCAGAAAAATTGTTGTGTTATAACTAAGAATGTTTTTTAAAAAATGCTTTAAAAGGAGAACATGGAGGCATGGAGAAGTTGTGTGATTTCTCCAAATTGCACTGCTCATTGAAAGTAGGACAGAGAGCTTTTGATTTCCAAACTCATGCTTTTACTACTTCTGTGTCTTCCTTAGACAAACTGTGGCAAAATGAGCTCCCATTACAATGAACTCCTCATCTTGGGTGGCCTCTGCTGGAATTTCAGCCACCTCTTTCCTTGCTTTTTCTGCTCCCCAACCTAGTACATATATACACTACATATTTGATCAGCTTAGAGCATAAAGTGCCACTATTTTTAAACTATTATTCTATTTAAAGGATTTGCTGTGGTCTAAAATAAAATTAGCCACATAACAAATGTTTATAGGAATTTACAGTATGCAAGAGAAGCACTACCACCATTGCCAAATAGACTTAAGATGAAGCCCTAAGGGAAAGTCTACATGTCACAAACCAAGTAACAACAACGAGAACAAAGCAGCAACGAGGCGGTGTCTTCCCATGTCTCTAATGTGCACTAAGACAGATTCTCACCAGCAGCTACACAGACCACCCTGTTTACCAGACTTGTACTCAGACTTTTGCTTGGTCATGGTTTTGTTAGTGAATATTGTTTAGGGAGAAAAAAATTGCAAAAGACACCAGTCACCTAATCCTGGTTACTGTCTTCTGAAAGGCTAACAGAGTTATCCCTACAAGTGCATTTGGTAGGCCCTTACTGTATGCAGAACACTGTTGTGGAAGTTAAGGAATAATAGCATTTGAGAAAGACATATTCTTTTTCTTCCTCAAGGAGTTTTCAGCCCACTTAATCAGGAACTTGCGCCCGTAGTCAGTATGGGGTTCCTACAGAAGAAACTAGTCCAGCCAATAGAGATTTGGGGCACTCTTGTGACAAATCTATATTCTCAAGCAGTTGAGGGGAAACCCACCCTGAGGACTTGAAATGATCTACTGAAAAGCAGTATCTTTTCTGTGTATTTGCTTCCCTTTAGAATCAGTGAGAAATAAGGGACTGAAATCCAATAAAACGCCATCTAAATGTATTCCCCACAGCTCAGGTGTGCTGACTTAATCCTAGTACCACCCAGGGATTTAGAGAGACTAATAGTGGTTTACTGTTAAGCAGTAACATCATAACACGGAATATTTTCCTTGGCTATTGGCCCATGTTTCAAAATATATAAATACCTACAAGCAGTACATCTCATGATTTGAAACACAGAAGGAATCTATCCTCACAGACACACAGACACACACACACACACACACACACAAACAAAACAATGGAGGAGAAAAGAATGCATCACACCAACATCCTGTATCATTTCTTGAAGGCTTTTCTTGCCTTTTCTTTCTTCTTAAAGGCCCTGGCAAAGCTTATATTATCTATCCTGCTCTTCTTGCCTCTGCTACCACATCCTACTTCTGAGCTTTTTCAATTTTGCTTCAAGCATCATGCTCCATTGAAAATCTGTGAATTGCAATCTGGTCTCATGTCCCATGAGTCTCCTCAACTTCGTTTTAAGAGTAAAACCATGAGCTCAAGTAAATAACTTAAGGTAAAGGTGACCTTCAATCCAGGAAAGGAGGGGAATTAGTCCCATAGCTTCTAGTCCTATTAAGTAACATCCCTGGACATACCTATCATTTCTTAGAAATTCCTAGGAATAGAAATTCAAGTTATCTGGAAAGTCTATTTATTTTGAATGCATTAGTCTATAAATCTAGAAAAAATAATGCATTGTTTTAAGGGATATTTTCAGGAAAATAAAGTAAATCAAAGAATTGGTCCTTTTTCTAGGACGTATTCCCTATTTTTGGTGGAAATTGTGTATGTTGTGTGCGTATATGTATATATGTATGCAATATAAAATGGAAGAGGTGAAGTAATATAAAATAATTAACCATTGTAGAAACAAAAAATAATTGCACAATAATATTTAGTTGAGAAGACTCTCTGGAGGTTTGGAAGGTGGAGTTAGGCATTAAAGGAGGGCCTAGATCTGGTCAGTCGACATAAGATGAGATTCCAACTGGGGAAAACCAAAAGAGGCAAAGACATAGGGATTCTCTGGAACATGTACTAACATGTACAAAGGACACTGAAGATGTGGACCTACTTAGGAAAAATAAGTGGGAACAAACTCAAATTTGAAATCAATGTCCCCCACTTAAGCCTTGAATTTCTAAGATTGGTATGAATAGTATTTCTACTCATTAGATCCGTATTTTTCTCTCATTTGTGTTTTCTTTATAATAGCAAGTGAAGCCTTGAAGACAAAAAATTATCCAATTAACATTTTTCTTCAAAGTGGCATTTAAAAAATTTAATTAAAACAATTTATTTATAGATTTCTCTCCTAATCAGAGGCAACAAAAAATAAAGAAAAACATTGGTCTTAGGAACAAAGATTGATGTAAGCATAATGTGCAATTTTCCTGGCCTACAGAAACGTATTTAATTGGTAAGTAATTTCAAATGACAATACCATGCCATTTAAAGCCAACTAATGACATTTGTCTAGTAGTCCCTGGCATTTGTTCTCAATTTCCTCATAACATTCCTAAAAAGGCAGAGAAAAACACAAGTCACAATGGCACCAGCGACTGGGTCTGACAACTCACCTCTCTCTGATTTAGGGATACAACCTTCTAAACTGCAAGGCTACTGGAGCCAGGTTGGCAATTACAATGAGAGAAATAAAGTTCTGAGACTGTACTCTTGAAAGAAGTAGGAAAGTCCTTCAGGCCCCTCCTTCCGCAACCCCAACCCCAACTCCATCATGCTTGATTCAAGACAGAGTACCAGGCTGTTTTCCTTCTGCTGTATCGCTACTGCCCTTGGAAGCACTGGATTAGACATTATGCATCTTATCCTATATACATTCAGCGTTTGCAGCTCCAAACATCAAGTGCACAGAAAGAGGGTAGACTGGGAAGGTGAACTGATGTTGTATCCTGAAAAGTGCTGTGAGCTGAAAAATAGTCCAGGTAGGATTCTTTTCCATGTTGACCCGGTAATCTTTGGCTCTACCTCTTGGACACTGGGCTGAAGGCTTTCCTATAGACACTATGGTCTGTGTTCTGTTCTCTGGTCTGTGGTCTGTGGTTAGATACCGTATCTTCATAGATCTTTCCTTCAAATTCCCCAACGCTGGGAACCGGTTCAGCCACAGTGAGGATTCTCCTTAAATTTGATCTGGGTGCTTTTCAGATTTTCAATTGTTTCCTTGACTTTGGAGTACACTGATGAGATGGTGAGAATTTGGATTGCAGAGATGCCTCGTGATTATTATCTTTGAGTTTATTATTCCTATACAGACACCTGTTATTGTTGTTGTTGTGATCCTCAGCAATGACAATGGAGGGGGATACCTATCTCTATCTTCAGCCCGCCCTTGTTCATCTTCACTCTCCAACTGAAGGATATAGCAAGGTGTTTTTTTTTTTTCTAAATTTGAATTCCTTCCACTTTCCCTTATTTTTTTTCTACTTTCTTGCATTGCTCTGTCAAAAATTGGTGTCCTCCTGTAATTTGATTCAAATTATATTATGCAGTGAGATGAATATTTATATTA